TATGCGTACTTTGATTTTCAACTTGGCATCAGAGCCGATTTGATCATTCAGGGTTTTTTGTTTTCAACTCCCATTGATCATTCACGGTTAAATTTGCTCTCGTTTGGTATTCCTCTATTAGTCACTTCTCATTCTTTTTCGCTTCTCGTTTTTCTAGTTTAAATTCGTAGGAATTTGCATTCTTTATTTGAATTTAGGCGTTTATTTGAAAATGAACTTTTAACACAAATAGTCCCTTATGCTTTGACAAGTCATCAGTTTGGTTCTTTATGTTTCAAACTCATAAATTTCGTCATTTATATATTAAGTTGCTCATCACCTTGTTCTTATCGTCCAACTCCATTAAAAATTCCATTAGTTTGCTGATGCAGCAACATGTGGAACCGACAAAGTCAAATATTTAGAGCCACATGGATTTAATGTTACTGAAAATAAATTTGAAATGAAAAATAAGAAAAACCAGTGGCCCCGTGTTTCAGCTACACCCTCACCATCACCCAGCCCTACGACCCCAATACCCTTCATCTGCACATGCCACCCCAATACCCTTCATAGTACTCGTGTCGTTTATGGATACCTTTACTAAGATATATAAAATCAAGTTCAAAAACAAGCAAAGACAGCACAAATGTACAAAACTCATCCACTGTTCTTCAAATTATTGTAGTAAAAGTGTAGATAATGGTGGTTGTGGTGGGTTGGGAGATGCAAGAGTTGGGGTTAAGTTTTTATATTTTATATTTTATGATTTCATGGTTTTAGGAAAATAAAAAATGTATTCAATTCAAGTGGTGCCAAATAATTGGCTTCGTATGTCTTACATGTTGCCACATCAACAAATTATCGATCGGATTTTACAATGGAGTTGGACGACAAGGGCGAGCAACTCAAAGTGATGACTTGGAACAACGTAGGAGATTATTTGTGATAAAAACTGTTTGAACCAAAAATAAAACAAAATTCTGTAAAAGAAAATTTGAAATGCATTTGAAGACCAGATCGTCTCGAACCCGTCTGCATCTACACCTATGTTAACTAAATCATTTCTTGTTTGACTTATTAGTGTTATTAGAGAAATACAAGGAGGATTTGTGGAAAATTAATCTTTTGACCTGTAGCATTTGCCAACTCATTCAACGTCTTCAAAATATTCCTTGCGGTCATTCAAGTGGCCTTAGCAAAAATGAGGCAATCATCTGCAAACACTAAATTTCAGTGGCGGAGGCACCATAAGCCTAGGATAGGCCTGGCCTACCCACCCTCACTTTTTCATCCTTTCTAAATAATTTGTATTATAATTTTAATTTTTTGGTAAATGTAGTAATTTTTTTTTTTTTAAGTTTATACAAAATTCTTAAATTCTATTCACCAATAATTAAAATAAGAGGTCTCTTTTTCTTTTCAATTCCAATTGCACTCATCTTAAAACTATATTTAACATCTCATTTTATAAACAAATCAACTCTTAAAATTAAAATGTAAAATCTGATTTAGTTTTATCAAAAAACATTCTTTCACATTGTCCAACCGAAGAATAATAAACTTTGAGTTTTCCTCCTCTTCTTCGTGAAATTTCATATATTTGTCCTCCAAATTCCAACCCACAACAATATTAAGGTTTATAAATCTCTCTGTTCTCTCTAAATTTTTACTAAATTTATAAAATTTCATATATTTTGTTCTCTAAATTCTCCCTAATTTTTTTTATTAATTACTCTCTACATTGACTTGTTAATTTCAATATGAAAAAAGATTTAGCGTCTCAAAAAGTTGAATTAGTTGACAATTCAAGCATGTATTCTACTCTCCTATCAATACTATCCATTTGTTTTATATTTTTGACATTTATGTAAGGTCCCTCCTCACGTAAAATCCTGGCTTCGCCATTACTAAATTTGAGATTTTAAATCCTCTAGGAGAAGTAGACCCACATTTGTCTTGATTAGTGGTTCCACACAAGGAATGAAAATATAAGGAGACAAAGGATCTCCTTATCTGATTCCTCTAGTAGGGTAAATTTATGACAATAGAAAAAGAAGTGGAAGAAACGCATTCCAAAACTAACCTTATCCAGTGACTATGAAATCTAAATTTCTGCAACACAAGTTTAATATCATCCCAACTAATAAGACCATAAGCTTTTTCGAGGTCTAATTTAACCGCCATTACCCCATTTCTACCTTTTTTTTTGTTTTAAAAGAGGAAAATATTTCATGGGAAATAAGAATATTATCATTGAGTGATCTTCCAGGAGCAAAAGCACCTTGGTTCCTAGAAATAAAACTTTCAAGTAGAGGTTTTAGCATATTAGCAATGATTTTAGCTATAATTTTGTAAGTTACATTGCAAGGCTAATAGCTCTAAAGTTAACCACAACTTTAGGGAAATTTACTTTGGGGATTAAAGCAATATTAGTATGATTAATCATCCTTAAGCTTGAACAATTTCCGAAGAAATCTCTTACTAAATCTCTAATGGAAGGACCTACAGTATCCCATCAGTTTTTATAGAAGGAAGCATGATACCATGAGGACCCGGGGCCTTTAGGTACCGTTTGGTATGTGGGACGGGACGGAATAGAGTGAGACAAGGCGTTCTGTCCCACATTTGGTGCGCCTAAAACGGGTGGAACGAGCTGTTCCACGGGACGAGTTTTGGGTGAATTTTTGTTCCACCTCACCCTCCTGGAACGACTCGTTCCACATCCGTGGAACACAAAATTATAACCTCTCCGTCTCCTTCTTCCTCCTTGTTTCCATCCGAGGGCATCTTTGCTCCCGTTCCGTTCCGCTCTCTCCTGTCCCATTCTGTCCTGTCCCGTCCCGTCTGCATACCAAACAATACCTTAGGGCACCGATGCTGCAGACAACTTTCCAAATTTTCTCATCCCCAATAGAACTAATAAGATTATCATTTTGTATATCACAGATGCAAGGTTCAATAATATCAACAAACTTGGACATGTTAGTGGAGTTAGGGCAAGATTGAGCAGTAAAATGCAGCTTAAAATCCTGCACAAAAATATGCTCATGCCCCTCACCAAAATCCCACTAGTTACCAAAATTAGCCTTCAAGGGGTCTTTAATTTTTGTAATTCAATGTACTGATTTATATATGGAAGCTAGTAGCTACTCATTGAACTTATAAATGCCATGGAGTTGAAAAAAGCAATGGAGTTGAATAGCAACCGAGCTGAAGCAGCGCAAGCACCAGCGAGGGTTTGAGGAGAAGAGGCAGAAGCAACAACAAGGGTTTGACGTTCGAGGTAAAATCGGAAGCTCAATAAATTATTTTGTCTAGGCCAATTTTATTAGGTTGCTTTGATATTGGGTTTTGTCCTAACAATTAAATAAAATTATTACTTAATTTTTTTGTTAAAACTCAAAATATTAAAGTTTTTTCATTAGTTTTTTTTTTTTTTTAATTAAATTGTCCAGCTCTACCTCACTCGATTCTGATTCGTACTGAAGTCAATTATTTTTAAATTTGATTCCACGCGATACGATTACAAATTAATAAAAGTAGACTCGTGCATAAGTTACTTTGCCAAAAGATGGTAAAGCCTCAACCTTTATTTAATGGAAAAGCAGAAGCCTGTAGCATCCACGTCAAAATCACAAAATCATCATAGGGCTTCCTACCTAAGAACCCCTCCCGGACCCACTCGGGCAGAATCCCATCATCTTCATCTAAAATCCCAATTGGTACAACTGCGTGATAGCAACCGTTCGATCCCATCTAACGGCTGTGAAAACATCCCGACAACCACATCTTCTTAGTTCCAAGATCATTAATGCATTTGTATGAAACAGCCGACAAATTTTTTATTATAATCCGAACACAGGTGTTACATTATGTGTTTTTATATAAATGATAAGAGATTTTATTTTTTAAGATATTAACTTTTTAAAACACATATTTCACCATTTGTATAAGGATACATGATATACCATTTTGTGTTTAAAATCTCTCGAAACCAACAAATAACCTGTGGGGACCACACGCTTTGCTTTGTCAGATCCATGGTAACGCCAACTCATCATCCTTCCCTACTTATTAGATTCCCAATCGATGGAAATCGAGCCGTCGATCCACCTGGGGGTCCCACACAAACCAACGGATAAATATCGTCCATCTCTCCCCTTGTGTCACTAGCCGTCCCCACAATTACCGATCATTGGCGCTTTATACATAAGAGATTTTTCAATGTGATTGACATATGAGATGATACATTACATGTCATTATATAAATGATAAAATATGTATATTAAAATTTAATAATTTAAAAATAAAATTTCTCATCATTTACATAAAAACACGTATAGTACTATTCGTATTCCCGTCATAATGGAAATTATCTTCTTTGTCCAATTGGGCTCGCGGTAAAACTGATTTCAAACCGAGACGTTTCTGGTGTCGACACGTGTTTCCTACAACGTCGGTGGCCTTATCAAATCATAGCCCACAGATACTGGCAGTGGGAGCCTAGGAGTGTTTTATATTATTACTAAAACCAGATCTGCAGTACACACCCACCGTCTTGTGCATCACTTCGCTCAGAAAAAGCTCTGAAAATCGCTAATCCCCAATTTCCAAATTAGGGTTTGTGTTCAGCGGATCCACCCGGAACGAATCAAGATTGGTGATGCTCCCGTGCGCCATGTAATGTAGATTCGCAATCGGAGGGTAAATATGGGTCGGGTCGTCTGGTTCGAAGCGAAGCCGGCAAGAATTTGGAAGAGGGTGTTGCTAGTAATCAAAAAATCGATAGTACTCCTCGTGGGTGGGAATCACACCTCCTCCAGGTTTTGCAGTCGCTAATCTACTCTCTCTTTCTCGCTTTGGCTTTTTCCCTCTCTCGAAATCTGTAATTGATTTTACAAAGTTCGCAACTTTTTTTTTTATTTTTTTTATTAAACAACTCGTATTTGATCGGAAACGAGAAAACCCAATTGCTTGAACGCGATATGATTCGGGCCCGAGTCATCACGAAGAGAATCATGGATTTGAAGGGCGTGAGAATGCAGATCCTTCATGGGCCTTTGGTCCGGCGTGTGTTTTTCCGGGCATTCTTTATCGCCACGGCTATGTCGATCATACCGTTGATCCACATTTTGTCCGGGACCTACATGACAATGTTCACTTTTGTGAACCCCGGCGACTGCGCCGCCGAATTGGGCCACGTCGCCCCTATCGAAGTGACCGCGGGGAAGTTTAATTTCCAGAGTCCGTTCTTCGTGCCCTTCTGGAAATCTAATGGTTCGGAGCAGTGCAAGCGGGATGTGAATTTGACCGTCAGTGTGGTCAGAGAGCTCATGGGTCAGAAGCTATTGAAATACGGTACAAGAGCTCTCTGTGTCGGAGAAGGGTCTGCCTCGGCTGGGCTGGCATTGCAAGATTTGGGATTTCCCGATGCTCGTGGTGTTTACAAACACCGGTTCTTCTCGCTCAAGCACAAACAGTTTGTGTATGAAATTGACTATGAGGACAAGTCCTTTGATTTTGTGCTTTCCAGGGATCTCGATAAGGTTTCTGTCCCTGCGCTTCTTGTGCTTGAGATCGAGCGTGTTCTTAGCCCCGGTGGAATTGGGGCTATGCTTGTGGGTAGCAGTGTTTCCTCCCCGAATAGCTTGATTAGGTCTGCTACCCCAATTTCTTCACTGCTGAAAAGTTCCAGTGTTGTGCACGTTAATTACGTCAATAACTTCACACTGGTTGTGTTCAAGAAAAATTATGACAATGCCGGGCTCTTTAAGCAGTATCACCTTCCGGCTGACTGCCCATCCCTCACAAACAATCGACCTTTCATTGGGATAATGGAGCCTCTGGTGAAGGAAAAACCAGTGGAGTATGGAAAGAGGTTTGCATACTTACCTAATTTTGTTGATGTTTCCTCAAAGAGGCGGTTGGTCTATATTGATATTGGGGCAGCAGCGCATCTGAACGCAAATGTTACAAATTGGTTCCTGCCTTCTTATCCCATCGAACGCAAAGATTTCAATGTTTATTTTGTTGACCATAACACTTCTGTTCTGTTATCCTACGTCAAAAAGCCCGGAATCACCTTTGTTTATCATCCAGGGCTGGCCGGAATCAATCCGCAAGTCAATGTTCCAAATGATGGGATCACAGATCCATATGTCGGAGATGAAGGGTTTGATTTCCTCGTTTGGTTCAAAGAAACTGTGGGGTTTGCAGATTTCGTGGTGCTCAAGATGAATGCAGGCAATGTAGAACTGAAGTTCCTCACGGAACTGTTTGAAAGTGGAGCCATATGCTTTGTGGACGAGCTGTTTCTTCACTGCTCAGGCCAAGTAGATGCTGGAGGTGAAATGCCGGTGGACTGCATGGACATCTTTGGAAGCCTCCGTAGCAGTGGTGTGTTTGTCCATCAGTGGTGGGGGGACGGCAACCCCGGTGATGTTCTCCTATCTGTCGGTTGATCACGATATGATATCTTGATCATCTGGTTTCTATGATGTTGCTTTTATGGTTGGGCACTTAGGCTAAATAAAACAACCATAATTATCTTGTGTGGTGTGTTTATGTTATGTCGGAAGATGATAAACATCTAAGTTGTTGCTTTATGGCTGGTTGGACACCTGAGCTTTCCAGCTTAGTAACTTATTAATGTTATGTTTGATTTGTGTTTATCTGTTTGCTTTCAGTTCCTTTTCGTCGACTCTCGTTAATTAAGCTTATTAGAGTGGTCCATAGGACCTTAATCTTTATTAAATTTGATTGCGGAAGATTGATGACCCTGCTTTACACATCCATTTCTTGTGCAGCATCCTTTTAACCCCACGAATGAATAAAGAGTTCATTGTTCCCTCACATTAGAGGTTTGGTGGAGGTACCCTGGGTGGGTACGAGTCCCGTTTGGCATGAGAAGTTTTTGTCTATTACACCGCCAGGTGATGTTATTATTCCGTTCAAGTTTTCATGAATGACGAGTTTATATTTTAAACTATAGTATGTTAAATATCCGTGTTATATCTATTCAGGATGGGCTTCCTTCTCTTTTGCATGAGAAAGGTATGGAACATCTATATCATCGGAAAGGAAATGATTTCTCATTCTCTAAGTTCATTTTCCCGCGAACCAAACGGCACCTATATGTTTATTTTCATCTCACACTTACTGGATGAGAAATATTTTAAAGTGCCCAGTATTCAAGTATTCAAGCGAGTACTCTGCGTGTCATAAAAAAGGTGGGATACAGACAACCGGATGATTCAGGCTTGAAAGCTTTTGGAAGCCAATCAGAGACAAGTTGAGATGCACACTTTGAGGCTACCTTGAGAAAAGGTCGACGCCCTTGGTTTAAAGAAAGAGAAGTACCATGTTTTGTGATTGAATAAAATAATGAAAGTGATGGGGGATCTACCGCACTACATTGTTTTATTACTTGCAATTATTTAGCCTCTGCTCCACAAAGGTGGTCAACTGCTAAACTTTATTGAAGCTTCACTAATTGAATAAACATCCAACCATCCAAGGTATTTCAACTATTTTTTCACTTGTCACAAACAAGTCAATTTAAGTACGAGGTCTTAAATTCGATTCGTGTCAAAGACGAATTTGAACCACATTACTACTAGTCTATTGTAAGATTAAACTCATCATCTCTCTCCCTTAATATAGAAAATATCGTTTGTCACGCCATCCATAGCTCAAGAAGAGAAAATAGGCATTGGTCTCTCTAGAGTTTAGTCTATGAACTAAATATTTGTGAATATTGGTCCACGAACGCATCACAATCCACTAACCGTTTTGTGTCACAATATTACACAAATGGGTTTTGCCCCACATAGTGACAAGTATACGGTCCAATGTGCATGAATTTTAGTTCAGAAAACATTGCTCCAATATTCTTCTACAAGGAACGCACAAGAGACCAAGTCCCTCAATCCCATCCTTTTAATCCCTTCTGTGAAAAACTAAAAATCTGAGCATACAAAAAAAAAAAAAAAAAAAAAAAACAGAGGAACTAGTATGTACATACTTTAATCTCTCTGCCCAAATACCTAAAATTCATCGGAACTGGAACGTTCATGGAAAAATACCTGATTATCTCTACATTATTCTTTCTTGAAACAAATAATTACAACAGGTAGAAGCAAATTGTAGATTGACCTACAACGGTACAACCAATTCAAATGCCGAACATGTATGGTTAAGAATTGCCACTGAACACTCAGCATGCGTGTAAAGAGCATCGTTACATACCACTGGTGCAACACAGCATGTTGCACATCGTACAGCATATAATTTGCCTCTTCAATTCATTGAACACCGAAGTGAGGGACAAAAAAGCAAGTGCAGAAGGAAAGTGGAGAAAGAGGGCCGGGCGGGGTGGGGTGGGGTGCCATTAACTTACAGAATGCTAGTGGCAGAACACATCCTCTCATTCCTCAGGGCCATTGTTGACCTTTATCTCCAAAAGCCTCTCAACTGGTTGCCGGCAAATTGGGCATCGGTTTGTTTGGAATCTCAAGACCTTGGCACACCCACTGCACATGCACTGCAGGAAGAAAAGAAATCCAACCAAAAGTCAGTCACAACGAAAATCCAACATAAATTACACTCTGCTTGATTCAAGCACATTAGTATGCAAATATGATAACTAGATGGACACAAGTTAATGTAATCCTATAGAATCTACAAACGAGTCAAAAGGAATTTTGAACCCAAATAAAGGACTTCTCTTTAAAAAACTTGGCTTTTCCTTTTGTCAATTACGAAATTTAAGTCCAGTGATGTGAATGCTAAATCGGCTTTCAGTTACAATCTTTCTTTTGGCAACAAACTAGCTCTCACCAATCACAAACTTCTCTAAAGATTAAGATCAGCTTTCTCCACTAGCAACTACGACAAACTTTGAAAAGAAAATGTGCAATGTATAATTACCATGTGTCTGCATGGAAGAACAGTTGTGTCCCGTGGTTCAGACAGGCAAATTACACATTCTTTTCCGGGGTCATTCCCGTCCACTTCACCTTCAACTGAATTACCAATGCCATATATCTCCTGTAGTTCATACCTCATCCCATTCACCCAAAGAATCTGTTTGACAACCCTAACTTGGAATTCACCTTTCTCCCTCTCAAATATAGCCTGAGTTATCTGGGAGTTTGTTGTTACAGACGCGGGGCTTCCCTCTGATCCATCATGGGCAGGAGGGGATGCCTCGGCCTTCACAGCTATAGGATAGATATCCAAGTCAGCTACTTTCAGTAACTCAGCATCCTCAAACATTGAGAAGTTAATTCCAGTTCCAGAAGGCTGCCTGAACTTCTGGCCCAGACCTTGTTCAAAATGTACCGTCACAGGTGGATGAAGGTTAAACTTCATTGGTGTCAGGTTACAATCCTCGCCTTCTTTTGCAAAGAAGATAATGGTGATGCTGTTTCACAAAGCCATAAATTAAAATTTAAAAATAATCTGATGATCATATACAGCCATGCCATCCAACAGTTATTCATGTAAATTATATGAATTGCTTATACCTTGGCCAAGAAAAAGATACAACCACTACAATTCTACATGAAAAATGCCATCACAGCATGGTGTTTGCGTATGATATATAATGCAAAAAAGATCAATCCGATTGCATCGCAGCCGAGGGAAAGACTTTATACCGCAGAATTGAACTACCAAAAGGCTATACCAATCTGAATGAACAAATAAATATACTGATTGCAAAGAGAGCCTACGGTCCTCAGATCATCTTATATTTCCTAAATTATCATTTTTGGGATACACCTCTTCGTTGATCAATGTTCACTAGTTAGAAAAAAAGTTGAGTAAATCCTTGCAGCTAAACAATAGTTTACTGTGAAAAAAATCAAACAGATTGCTTTCACCATCTATGCTCTTATCGTCTAGAAACTTCTGCCCTTTCACTTTTGTGAGGTTCCCCGGGCAGCTTCTACTTTCATCCATTAGAATCCTCTCTAGCAGTAAGAAAATCCTTGTACCACATGAATGATTTTGTATCAAACGGTACATACCACAAACAATGTCAACGAAATCATATTTTAGAACAAACAGTTGGTAACATCCTAATGGATCAAGTTTCTCGGATTTAACAATTATCCATGAAAAAAAAAAAAACAAAGTTATCAATCATAAACCATAGTTCATCAATCGATCATGTTAACCTATTGCAGTCCCACAATTCCATCCTTCGACGCCATTACCCGTCATTATTATAACCGGATCAACTATAACGGCAATCACTTCAGAATGGCAAGTACCTCAAAATACTTTTCAATAAAACTTCGACTCCCGTAAATTGTTTCTCAATCTTTCGGTATCTACCACTCCACTATCTAATTGATTACCAATTTAGCTCAAAACGCTTTCTTTTTCAAACACTCCAATTCCATTTAAGCTAATCCCACATAAAAGCAAATAATGATCACAATTAGGAACTTAATACAGTAACAAATCAGAAGTTAGTAAAAAAGTTAAACTTCAAGTTCAACACCAAAGCTTTAAGCTTGAATTTTACCTCCCTGCAACCGTGGCGTCGAAAATAAAAGACACGAGGAAGCTTCCAGGGTTTTCCTCATCGGGCTCGACCTTCAGAGTCTCCTTCTTCAGATTCACATCGTTCCTTATAGTAACCGCCTTCTGGTGCTCCACGTATGGCGTCGGAGCCTGCATTACCCGGTACCGCCCGCCGGCCCAATTCGGATGCACCGTGTCCACGTGAGGATGGGGTACGCGATGGTGGTGATCGTACGGAGCGGGCAGAGGCACCGGCATGGGCGGCGGCGGGTAGTAACCCGGGTACTGGTAGTACTGGGACGGGTTGGGGTTGGGGTTGGGGTTGGGGTACTGGGGCTGGTTGGGGTTGGGGTACTGAGACGGGTACGGAGTCGCCGCTGCGAATACGTAGCGGTTTTGAGAGATTTCGGGCTGAGGTGGGGCCGGAGGAGGCGGAGCAGGGTGGTTTTGGCGGGAGCCGTGTCTCCGGCGGCCGCCGTTGTTTCTGCTCCCGCTGTTTCCCATGTTGGGTTAAATTTTCTTGAGAATTTTCTTGGGAAACAAACAGATTGGGGCTGGAAAATCAAGAGCTGTCGTCAGACAAGTTGAGAAGATGTGAAAGATTGGAACTTTGATATTGTATTCTCCTGGTTTTGGGTTCTTCAGTGCGTTGTGAAGTGAAAGGGAACTTTGGATGGTAACATTGAAGTTATAAAATAATAAAATACTTATTTTAATTAATTAATAAAAAATAATATAGGAAAAGACCGTAACAAGAAATAATAATAATAGAAAATAAATAAAAAAAATACAAAGAGGAGAAAAATAGTTTCGAGAATGCAAGTCATGTGATATAAAATAGATGTACAAAAATATTGATAAGCAATCTTCTTAGATAAAATAACATATTTGAGTGAAGTAGCAATAACATGTTAAAAGTGAGATTTTTAATGGATTTTTTGTCGCCTCAAACTTTTACAAAGTGTTTTATTACATTGAAATATGAATTGACGTTAAACTGTAAAATGATAAAAAAATTCATAAACTTTTTAATTTTAGAGAATTTCTTTAGCATTTTTTATTTATTAAATTCATATATTATAATTTAAATGAAATAATATCGGATCTCTTGAACTGCATCGAAAATTTGATGAGAGAGAGAGAGAGAGAGAGAGAGAGAGAGAGGAATCTTGATTCGCTTTGTTGTTGGTATTTGGAATGGTTGGGTTGGGATGAGTGGGTGGGTAATGGGATTGCGTAAAGAACCACCCAAACCAAAGGCACCATCCATATTCCGTATACCCCATGACATGATGAAAATTGAGACTAGAAAGAAGTGCTTATGCTCAACAGCTAAAGCTAACACCTTTTTGCCTTTTTTTTATTTGTTTTTGTTTCTAATGATCAACATTATTGGATTGTATTATTCGCACGAATTAGACCAAGAAAAAAGATATGATCATGGATTCATGCCCATCAAATGGATGTCCTTTCAGCCTCCTAACAATTCACTATGCTACTGCTTATGCTAATGTCGTCATCATTTGATCTAATGTCATTCAATCTTAATTTGATTGAGATGTCATACATTTGGCTTAATCATTAAATTGTCGATGTCTGAGTTCAAATCTTAACGAAGAAATCTCAATGGATAATAAAGTTGGCTTGGGGCTGGATCGTATGCCTTATTTTGGTTGCCAAGTTGCTGTTTATAGGAAGCAGTGAATGATGATGTCATTCTGTTAGTATTGGAGATAAGCCTTACTAAGACCAACTTCACCTCAAGCAAATTGCTCAGGCTATTAAGCGAAGGTGATTACTGTTTTAGTGAATATTAATTGTTCAAATGAATCTGTACTTCTAAACTGAATTGTTCAGCCTATTGGTACTAAAATATTTTTTTTTAATAATAACAGTTACTTTTATATTTAATTTCAAATAGAATTTTTAACCAATTATGTCACGCCATTCAGATACAATTTTTGTGAATAGATTTTCGAGTAGATTTTTAACCAATTCCATAACGTCATGTGTTTTGATTTTATAAGAATTTTGGGGATAGATTTCCCATAAGATTTTTATCCAATCCTATCGCGTCACATGTCACTATCTGTTTAGAATCATTGTGGATAAATTTCAATAAAACATTTAACCAATTACGGCGTGCCACGTGACAATATCTACAACCTCATCCCTTTTTTTTTTTTCTCCATATAAACCCTACATCCATCTTAAAGTCACTTACCAAAATCAAAATGTCTAATAATCATTCTTCATAGTTTATAAATCTTGAGTTCTTACAATGTCTTCTTCAAGGATATTGTTAGAAATCGGTGAGCAAGAGAAATAATTGTTCGATCTCAAGGAGGAAGAAAATGAGTTGTTCGAAATGGAAGAGCAAGAGGATGAAGAATATGATGAAGTAAGAAGCGAGAGAGCCTCACACATTGTCGTGTCATGCAAACTGTGGGGGTAATCTCCAGACCCAATCGTTCCGCAAACCTCAATAAAAAGAGAGAACAATGAGGTAAGGATCTCTTGGACAATGAGGCTAGGGCAAGTAGCCAAAGGAAAATGAAACAGAAATTAAAAAGGGAAACTGAAGTGGTAATATTGTAAAAATTCTACTATGTTACTATCATTCTTATACATTGGAGTTTTTTACCGTTAAATCTTTACCAACATATCTTTGACTAAGAATATTTAGCATCAAATAAAAATTTCATAGCATATTAAAAATTTTCGATTATCGTGTTTGTTTTTTTATCGTTGAAATTGTTTAAAACCCATGTAATAATAATTTATTGCTAAAGCAAACGAGGAATAATTGTTTACGTCTATGTGGATGACTCCAATCTATATTTCAAACGTGTGTTTGTTTGCTATCCACTCATAGTCCTTATTAACCCGAATAATTTAAAGCGTGCTTAAAATGACCTCATAATACCACGTGGTCGTGAACTATATTAAAACTCAGAGATTACTAAAGATAGCAAATGAAAAATTACAGATATTTCATTATCATCATGCTTTCTTTGTGTAAGAGAAGAAAAGAAAACCTCCACACATGAAGCATATTGTAGTAAATTAGTAGAATTTGAGGTCTTTTTTGGGCAAATGAAGTGTAATTCCCACTTTACAAGCAACTAGGCAGTCCTAGTGTGTTCCCAATATTAGTGTGACTCATACATACATGATCCAGTTGTATATGCATACATAATCTTTGTGTGATATTCTTTTGCTGTCATCCGTTCAAGTTTAATAATTGATTAACATATTTCAACACTAATTAAATAAAGTTCATTCCAAATGGATATCATTGTCAGCCTACCAAGTTGAAGTTTTAATCTCACAGAGATCATATTAAAATCGATCTTTGCAAGTTACAATTAATCAAGAATATATGTAGTGGTAGACACAGAGAGAGAGAGAGAGAGAGAGAGAGAGAGAGAGAGAGAGAGAAGCTGAAGTTTTTAGCAGAACATCATTGTCCAGAAGAATGTCCATCCATTAAGCTCCTCCTTCACCCTCTTTTTACCATCTTTTAAGTAACCCTACCGTCTGCAGACTCAGAGTCAAACAAATCTCCATCGCCATCTTTAAAGTCATAAACTTAGAGTCAAGAAGAAGCATTTAACCATTAAATTGGGTACTATGCACCAATTCTTTATCCAAAAAACCCAAAAAAAAAAAAAAGAAGAAAAAACCAGCAAAATTGCAGTTGTTTGAAGTGGCATTACAAAAAAAAAATTATCGTGTCATTTACTTCAATAACCATTGGTCTTGCATATCAATTGGTGTTTAAGAGCATATCTCTAAATTTTAAAAATAAATTTGACAACCTATATAACATTTTCATAGTTTTAAAAGATTTGATCTCTACCCGATTTGTCAAATTAAAAGCATCTAATAATCAATCGAAAACAATTTGAAGTTAATGTCAACTTTGGTAGTAAAGGTGATGGCTATCAATCGATGTCATACCACATTAAAATTGGTGTTTCGGTTGGAAAACGTTGTTGCTGTCAATTTTGCCCCTTAATGCTGATTTATACCTTTTGGTGTCTCTTTCGAGATGCTTTAAGAGGCGTACTTTATTTGGATTCTAAGGCCATCTCCAACCGAAGGAGGGTCAGAGAGCTCGTTTTAGCCTTCTGGCCATCTAAGAAATTAATATTTTAATGAACAATGCAGGGCTATATTTCTTACCATCTCCAACCGAGGGCCAAAGGACTATAGGACCAAACATAATTTATTATTTAAATTTAAAAACTACAACAATTTAAATTTAAAAACTACAACTAAAATTTAAAAACCTTATTAAGGACTTAAGTTTGGATCGTTGGGTAAAGTTATGTCATTAAGAGTTTGACATTAATATCTCTACTCTGATAATGAGATTAGAAGTACTGTATTAGAGAAAAATCATACCAATTTGAATTGAATAGGTTCTTCATACCAATTCTATGTTGGCTTAGGGGCTACGACATGCGGCTAGACGTCACTTGTAGTCTTTGAGACACCATAAATAGGTCTGGCAAACAAATCATGTCTGTCGTGTTCATGTCATTTTCATGTAACACTGATTATCTTAACGGGTCGTGTTGTGTCACACCCGTTATCTTAACGGGTCCTTCATAGGTCGGGTCACTTTACCCAATTGTTATGACCCATTAAGAAAATATAATTTTTTTTCTTAAATTTGTACATACCACACATTGCCACATAATTATTACTTCAAAATATTAAAATACATTTATCGTTTAAGTACTACATTTACACTCGAAAATAAGAGCCTAATAAACAAACATCTATACTCTACTAGTCTATTACAAAATATTAAATGTGCAAGGATATGCAAAATGAAAGAGTTTTTGTTTTCAAGGTTGTCAAGCCTTTCTCAAAAGTTTAAACCTTGCCAATGGAACTCAAAGCTTGCATGTTATTCCTTTTACAAAATCCTCAATTTTCATCGATCATCATGACATAAGATTTTGTGGTATCCACTAGTGTGAATATTTTAAATTGAAGATCGAATTCATTCATTGTATTCATATAGGGTCAAGCAGTGTAGCTGTAAAAAAATCATCAAAATCGGAGTTAAAATAACCGTTAAATCATGATTTTTCGATTATAACCGTCGAAAAGTTTTGTCCCGTTACTTGATCTCTGAATCTTTTTTTTTTTTTTTTGTGATTTTTGGTTTATATGATCTTGAAGCATATATAAACAAGTCTAACAGTTGGATTATTGAAATTAGTTTCATAAAATGCATATCCCATCAAAACGATAGATTCACTAACACTTAGAGTTTATTTATACGTTCAGTAAGTATAACATAACATTTTGTGGTATCCACTAATTGAAGATCGAATCCATTCATTGTATTCATATAGAGTCAAGGAGTGTAGCTGTAAAAAATCATCAAAATCGAAGTTAAAATAGCCGTTAAATCATGATTTTTCGTTAATAACCGTCGAAAAGTTTTGTCCCGTTACTTGATCTCTAAATGTTTGTTTTTTACAATTTTTGGCATATGTAATCTTGAAGTATATACAAACATGTTTGATGGTTGGATCATTGAAACTA